GAACAGAAACGGATGCAGCACTCTGTCAAAATATAAGCTAATAAATATAAAGAGTCACATGTCGTGTTAACAGGCTTGTTCAAAGGGCAGGCTGTTTAGAAAGCAGTTTCATTTCATGGTGTACTTTTGTTTTAATTTTATAAAAAATTAAAACATCAAAGATGAAGCAGCTTGAGTCAGTCTGCAGAAATGCTGAGTGCCTTGCTGGGTTACATGCAGTCTGCTGTTCCTCTGCACGTCTGTCTTTAGCCACGTGCAGCTGTCCTGTCAATATGTAAACATCTGCAGTCCCACCTGACAGCCGTGCCGACACAGTGATGGCACCAAAGGAAACCACGAAGCTTCATATTTATGAGTCATCCTGGGTATTGATTAAGATCAGCCTCCATCAACATGACTGCGTCTTTTTGAAATTCTGGGTTACTTTGTTCTAGTAAGCTGACTTTTAGCAGAAAGTAGAATTACATGAATGAACAGCTTCTCGTATAAAGTAACTGTTAGACATTGAACTTTGATGTTTTAACCTTCCATGTGTTTAATGACAGGTTGGCATAATGATGGAAACGCCTACTTTGACTTCCCGGTGCAAGAATATCTGAATATGTGTGTGAAACAGAGGTGTTGCACTTCACCTTGCTTGAACGTTAAAGGCTCCTCCTGTGTGTAACGGGCACATTGCAGCTCTGAGTTTGAGACCATTAAATGCCAACATCAGGGTTTTGTCTCTGACAGTTCAACAGCTTGTTGTGCAGTTGCTGGTGCATCCATCCAGCAGTCCTACAGAGAGATTTCTATTAAAGCAGAGCTACAGAGAGACCACAGGCCAGTGTTAGTGGGGTATTTTAATCGGGATCAAAGGAATTCTGGGAAACTGGTCACAGATGAGGTAGCGGATGAGGAGAGTATTAAAACACTCGATCTTCAGGTGGGCAGGAAGAAGATCTGCACTGAAGGTTACGCTGTTGTTTGACATGCAGCCTCATTTGGACTTGTTAGAGTGAGTGTTAGTGTTACAGCCAGTAATATTACTGTTAGATGGATGTGTGAAAGGCTGTGAGATACTGAGCTCAAATCACACTGGGATTCTTTGTTTTCCTCCTGGCTGCAGGCAGATGTTACGCAACCTGCTGGCTTTTTCTTTCATTGTCTTATTGTTTCTTTTGCCACATTTTTGATTCATTATTTGCTTTGTTTTTATATGATTTTACTTAATTTATATTTAATTTACTACTAAAAACTGACCCGTGGTTTAGACGTTTTAATGCAAGGAAGCAAACTAAAGCTAAGCAGAGCGTGGTGACTGCACAGGAATGGACGCACAGCGATGTGGCAACCAGAGCTCGAGGAATGTCAGCAACCTGGAGCAACGACTGGAAAAACACTGAGTTACTCAGAGTGGGAAAGGCCCAAGTTAATGTTATGTGGAAATGTAAAAAATAAGCCAGAGAAAGTGGCTGCTAAACATTTATCGCAGGCAGAGCTGACCTGAAGATGGTCTTTAAGCGAATAGTCTGGACGTCATCATCTGTCATTTTCCTGTGATTTGAAGTCAAATATTTAAAACGTGACTTTCAGCTTTCATTCACAGTGTTAACAAGAATATTCCCGTTTATGAATGACGGCTATTTTTATACATCGTCAGTCGTTTTCAGAAGCCCAAACATAACTGGGAGAACTGGTTGCAGCTCTGGGGCTGGCCCTGCTTTGTTGTTTAATGCTTTACATTATGGGACTTGATTTTCTTCCCCACGTTGCTTCCATAAACAGATCCCATGAGATGGTTTATATTAGCATCAACATACACTGATCGATGCAAACAACATGAAATTAGCATGTTTCGTATTTTGCGAGCTGCATTCTGCGCTTTATTCAAATTGAATGTGATGAGCCCCACGCTGTCCAAACCCCGGACTACACTCTGACCAGCAGATGATTCGACCTGTTTTTATATGGCTGAAATATTTAGAAATGGATGTAAAATAAATTGCAAACATAACTCAATTCATGACGACTGGCTTGTGTGATTGGCTGTTTTTGGGCTCGCTCAGTGAAATCTGGAGACCAGGTCACCTCAGCTTTACCGTTTCTGCCTTTGGAGCGTCCAGCGAGAGAGCAGCCGCATGGATCCACTCATCACCCAGTGATTACCCCCCACACTGGTATTAATCATGAATATAAGCGTCTATTCCACTGGCTTCCAAGGTTTTTCAGCCTCCTATAGAAAATGAACTCCTTGTTATCACATGGAGATCTGACTGACCGAAGGTTACACTGAGACTGATTCATATTTAATAAGAAAGCCAACAAACCATCAGCAGTTCGGCTCGTCTGTCAGTACAATATTACAGTATTAGTAGTGTTAGAAACCCAGATGTTGATGATCTGAACATCAGGAAACGTTGGCTGTAATCTGACACTGTCCTTATAGAACAGTAAACCTGAGGTGACCTGTTTTTAAACGTTATTATTGAATACATCGAGACGAAGCGCTGTTATTCAGCCTTTTGTGTTAGGTGTGTGGGTCCAAAATAAAATTGTGTGTAACTCATGAAAATCCCACCCTTGATGTGGTCTCATTCATGTGCGACCAAAAGACGCATGGATTTGCCAAAACACAAGAGAAGGCTTTTATTTGGCCTCTGAACATTCATCATTGAGAACAACTTTGCTCTTAGGAGGAGTTTGTGAGGGTTTCTGTGCTGGCCTTTGGCAGGGGGAGGCGGCTCGTTCCAGGTTTCAGTCCGTAGATCAGCACCTCAAAGCTCTGAAGGGGAAAGAATGAAAGCTAAGTGTTAGCAACAGTCAGAAATAAAGAGCTGTGGGTTTACCCGTCTGTGTTTCAGTGTAGAGCTCAAATGCTAGAATGGATGGATGCTGCCGATTGCTTTGGGAAATGGTGTGCATGTTTGTAGGAGAGCGAGAGCCGTGCCGCCTGTTTTTCTTGAAGCTCTTTGTCTGAAGAGTGGAGAGGTTTGTGACAGTGTGGAGAGGGGGAAGGGAGCTGAACCAGAGCAATGCCCTTTGTTACCCAAATGTTCAGGGAAATCCAGCAAACAAGCCACAAAACGGCTCTTTCCAGCTGACTTTGTAGCACATCAGCGTTTAGGAACAGAACTTTGATTTGTTTTCAAAATGTTATGCAAACATACAGCATTTTAGCCTCTCATGAAACATGCAGTTGTGATACTAAGAACTTGTCTTTTTCATCATGTGAAAATCATGCATAAACTATGCATAGTGTTTGATGATTTGATTGTTTCCCCTGGTCTCAGAGCTGTGAGAGGAAGCCTGATATCGACATCCTTTGACCCTACACTGCAAGCTTCCACACATTCACTGGCTGCTGACTGCATTGACCTGACATGAAGTTAAAGTTAAAGGGATTTCATACAGTGACAGCATAGCCAACAGCCCAGGGCCAGGATAGAGAACAGGCCTCCCATCTTCTCACATACATCTTATATACGTACTCTGACTTTAGCTGTAGTCAATTGAAGCGTGAGTCTATTACATGTGACATCGTTTTATAGTAAGTATTTATGGCACAGTGTGTGATGACAACACTTTGTGTCCTAATGCCGCAGACAAAAGCAGGAAGATCTTTGATTTTAGCTGTGCTGTTATGCAGCCGTAGCCAAGGTAACTGCCTCCTCTGAGTTAGGTGTGTAACCTGGCAACAGCTCTGACATGTAACAGTAAGTGTACTGTGATAATGAAGCACCATTATGAGAGCGCTGTGATCCTGTGAACACATTTATTGAAGTGTTGCTGAAGATGATAGTTTTCCTTCATCCAGCTGCTGCCCAACCTGTGCATTGTTGCCTTTGCAACCGTGGCTGCTCGTTCACGTCGTATATCGCTTCAGTTTTATCTTCATAGTGCACATAAGCAGCTGACTTGGCAACAGTGGGAACGAAAAACTCCAAAACAGACTCATTAAAGGAAGTGTTTGAGGCTGCTGAACAAAAGAGTACAGGCAGTGCAGGACTTAACAACGTGAGACTTAAACTGTATTTGCAACAACATAAATACTAAATACTCACAAAAGCTCTTTAAGAGCACGTCTGTGTAAAGACTCAGATTGTTATCAAAGAAAGTTGATAACACTAAATAAATCACTAAAGCCTCCCTCAGATCACCTGTTCAAGTTTGTAGCTGCACCCATGCACTGTCAGTTTAACACAGGCTCAAAGGTAAAGTTAAATAAGTGCACATGCAGACAAACCCTTCTTACTACACTTATTTAGTACCGCAACTTTAACCTCGACTCAGATCAGACATGGGAGACAGGGGCGTGTTTGCTATTTGCCCTATGAGCAACAGACATGTTGCGTTTGTGTCTCAGCAGTGAGCCTGTGAGGTGTTCAGTAGGCAAAGAGTGAAACTGCATCACGGATGCATCACAAAAGCTACACAACTGTCAGAGATGCACATGTGATACAGGCACTTCTAATGTTTTGCATGTCGGTGTTCGTTTGGCTGTGCAGTCAGTCTGTGCTCGGTTCCACTCGGTGTGATTTGAGTTATATATTTAATAAAAATGTGAGCGTGGCGCACATTCAGTGCCAAGCAGCATAGATATGTGTGGTCTGTGTCAAAGACAGTCTGGACCTCTGAGGGGCAGAAAAACCAAAAACTGTTAAATAAAAAATACACATCCAGAAATGCATACACTATTATATATTGTACATATATTTATTAGTTTCAGGTTGGCCATTCTTGTATTTTGCTCGTTTGTGTTGTTGTGTTTGCACATCTCTGTTGCTTGTGGGGCTCGCACACAAGAATTTCACTCGCATGTGCTGTGCCAGTGTGCCTGCACATGTGATGTGACAATAAAAGTGATTTGATTTGATTTGATTTGATGAATTAGTTCAGCACATTTTTGCTGATTATTATTTATCTGTTTAAGAAAAGAGATTTTATAGAAGAATGATCATCAGCTGTACACACACACACACACACACACACACACACACACAGTCTCCCAGGCCCATCCCAGGTAGCGCCTCCCTCCTCGTGACCACAGATAGGGCGCTCGGCGCTGTTTTGTCTCCCATTGACTTCAAGGTTAAAGGCAACAGGGGTCATTATGCTGTGGGAGGATAACTGCTAAGGTCAAGGGTGACACGTGGTACATCCCTCCCCCACTGCACGGCGCAGGTTTGATTTGTCATCAGTATCGAGCTGATTCCACTTGGAGTAAAAATATTGTGTACCAACACAGCCTGTGTCTGTTAGCATTCAAGTTCTTCTTCCTGCCGAGGAGACGCTGTGTGCTGCTGTGTTTCCTGTGCGTAACCTTTGAAAATGTCTCTTAAGCAGGACTATAAAAGTAAATAAAGGGTTGCTATGAGAACAAAGGTTTTATCTTGTCAGCTCCACAAAATCTGCAGCAAAAATCTGCACGTGTAAAATTTGCAGGTTAAGGATGGTTTTCTCTACGTTTGTCCCCTGGTGAAGAATTTTAATCCTCGAACGTGCATGTACAAATATACTGGTCAGGTGCACAGCTGTGTTTGATATCCAGCAGACGACACACTTTAGGTTTTCTCTCTCTCTTCTTGACAGATTCAGTTAGATTTTGGGTTTGTTGCCCAACCAGTGTTACTGTAACACACAGATATTCTTACACATTATCAAACTGTGTAGTGATTCAGTTGATGGAACCATGAATTCTGCTCTCTGAAGGGAGAAGTTTGGGCGTCAGTTCGTCATCCGCTCGCTCACCTCTGACTAACTGAAGCGTTTGGAGCGCTCGTACCAGTGTCTGGACTTGAATCAGACTGAGATGCTTTGCGATGAATTTTATAGGCCGTTCATGCCTGAAAACCCTCCAGCTGGATCAGTCAGTTACTTTTTCATACCTTAGAGTAACTTAAAATAAAAACTGCATTTTGTTTTTACTCTGGTTATTTCTAACGTTACAATTTGTTTGATGATCTGAAACATTTAGGTTCAACAAATATGCAGAGAAATAAATCCTCACGAGGCAAATGCTCCTTTTTGGTTCACAGCCGATCAGCAGATTCTGAAATACTCAGAGCAACAATTAAGTAACACGTTGTGATGCTTGAACTTCAGCAGGTCATCCAGAGAAGAAGAGCTCAGCCCACAGTGGATTTTGGGGCTGATAACAGGGACGGATGCGTTAGGCCTCCTGTGATATGGGCGCTTACTTCATGAGAGCAGTGGTCCTATTATTAGGATATCTATAGAAGATTTGGAGAGGAAAATGTAAGAATGATCATTTAAAAACATCTGTAAATGTTTTACTTTTTCCCAAATGAATTAAATTCTAAAAACAAATTTTAAATGATCGATTACTGTCGCCCGTGCTTTCTCTTTGGACAGCTCCAGTTAATCTAACTGGTTTTCAGTGCTGCTAACGTGGTTTGGTTGACTTCTAATGGTAAGGAAGGCCAACATGGAGCTGGGATGTTGCAGCTCTCACCAGGGTGTTTGTTTAAACTCCTGCTGACCCTGCTAAATGACTCATAATCAGATAATAAATATTTCCACCGTGTTGTGAAATCAGTAAGCAGAACCTGGCTCCTGGTTGCCATCCTTACTCTAATCCACGCAGCATTAGTGAGGTTTAGAGGTCGGACGGGCAGCTTCAGCATGAAAACATGTGGAAGGTGGGAACGTGCAGGAGCACAAAGTGTCTCCGTGCGCTGCTGTTTGGCTTCCTGCTGTGCTCACTTTGTAACCAAGCAAGGTGTGAATCTTTAACCTGTTCGCTGAGCGCTTCAGTTAGTTAATGTCATTGTGTTTTGCCAGCTTGAACCTGTGTTTATGCTAGGGCATGCACGTCCTCCTCCCAAGTGCCAGAGGCGCAGTTAAAGGGGAGGCTAATTTGGGTGTGAGGGCTGGGAAGAAAGGGCGGGGGCAGCATTGTTGAACGCCAGTGAAAATAGGACTATCATTTCCACTCAGATAACCCCTGGCTGTCATTGGACCACAAGCCAAGCGGTGACCCCGGGGGCTTGAACTCTTGCCGGTCATGTGACCAGGCAGTAAAGTGACCAGTGCTGATCTCTCTGCGGTCAGAGAGGGGCAGGCTGTCGAGGAAAGAGGTTGGTGGGGGAGAGAACAGAGGAGCCGGGCAGAGAAAGAAACCGAGAGCAATGTGGAGAGCAGGCCCAGTGGCTTTTTCCTTTAGCAGAGTCCATGCTTGAATGGGGTCCAGGCAGACTGGGAGAAGCATGAAATGGACACATGGGAAGGTAAGCAAGGATCACTTTCTTTCCTGAATGCGTCCCACGTACAGCTAGTGCAACTACATCTGAGTGGAACTGAGAATATATTTGAAATGTATGCATGAAACTCAAACTGCAGCACTGTTGATCGTCACTGTTGGTTTCTGTCTAATATTTCGAGTCTGAATGAACAGTGTGATGCGTACTGCTCGTGTGCAGGTTGGCAGGATAAGGCCTTTATGCTGTAATTAGTTAATGATTTTCAGGCCGGGCTAATGAGCAGAGAAAGCCCAGCTTGTCAGAGCCTCGCTGGCTCCCAGCACTTTGTTTATGTGCTGCTTGTGACGTAGCTGCAGCTGCACGGTGCACCTCCATATGTGCTGCTCTCTGCCATGTTGCTCACTTGATATGTTTTTCTTCCTTTTGGCTGTTTTATGCAAATGGTGTTGTGTGCTGGGACAAGAGGAAATGTCAAAAACAACAAACTGGTTTTTGGCACTTTCCACACTTTAATTCCACCCACCACACCACCGCTGCTCCTCCCTTCCTCCTTCCCTTCCTTGTATCACAGGAATTTGGAACGGGGTCCTTTCTCACTCTTAATATCAGCCCCACGTGAGAGGGTGTCTTTTTGGGCTTCGCTCACACAACGTTTCAGCTCAGCTTGGGACAAATTGGACGGAGGTCCACAGACACAGCGCTTTCTGGCCCTTCGATCGATGTTTTCCTTTAAGGACTTTGGTTTGGCATGTGGAGGGAGCATGCTACTGTACTGATCCCCTCCCCCTCCTTTAATCCCCTCAGCCTGGTTGGTTTGTGCTCAAGCTGAATTAGGGTTAAATAGCACTGCTGCACCTCAACACCAACACCTTCTGTTTTGCAGTAGTTCTGTGTGTGAGGAGGATTGTATTAAGCCCAAACTAATCATGAAGGAGAAAGCAAGCATAAGAGGTTGTTTATGTGGATGAAGGGGGCAGAGGCTGTGTGAAGATCAATAGTAACAGTGGGGGGAGGTCAGGGACTGCTGTGACTCTGTAATGCTCATCTATAACACGGCTAAAGACGCTTCTCAATGCAACCACTGCTTTTCCCCTAATTTCACTGTGAGATATCCGCCGTCTCTCCCCGGCCACGTGAAGCCAAACGCCAGCTCCATCACGCTGTGCATCTTTGCTTTCTTGTTGTTTTGCAAGGGTGTGTTATTTCAACTGCCCCTGCACCCTTCCCCCAGGACAAACACAGACACACACTCAAACAGGATAAAACTTATCTGATGATTTGCAAATGCAGTTTTTGCCTCTGGGATTATTTACAGAGAGCGATGTGTTTACTTCAAACCAGACAAAACTGGCAACTGATTTTTAATGCAGGCAAATTTACAATGTTTTGGCCCCTTTTCTGTGTTATATGGGAGCGGGAGGTCATCCTACTGTGTTTAGGAGGTCCCGTATTTTAATACACAGCAAATTTAGCACTTTTATGCAATTGTGTATCGCAGGGCATGGGCTGTGAAACTTCCCACATGGTTTGCATCAGCATGAACTGGCAAGTTAGACCTGTCATTAAAAAAAAGAAGCTCAGGGCCAAACAAGCTGAGCTTCAATGCTCTGCAACACAAATGAGAGAGGAACAAGGTGCAGATGAGCACACACACATCTGAGACTCCAACAAATCATTCCTCCGGCGCATTTCTGGATACTTTTCCACAAAACCTTTTAGAAAAATGTATCAAATTATCACAAGTGTTAGCAAATTCCTGAGATGGCACAAACTGTCCGGACATGAGGGAATATAGGAAGACGTGGGAAAAGCACGAGGAATAAATGTGTTTTTAAATAACAAGTCTTAGCAGTTTATGGACTCACATGTAGAACAGGTCACCAGGTTATCAACATCATCACGTCTAAACGCTGGGCTCAGTCTGCGTGGCTCAGCGGTCACATGGTGGATGTTTCCATGTACTTAGCAGCAACATTTGAACATCGGTCGCACATTTCATGGCAACAAAGATAACAATGTTTTTTTTCAACACACAGCTCCTTTTACATAAAAAAAGAAAATAAGAGCGGCTGAGGGAAATATTCAGTCGGACACGAGTTTCCTGGTTATTCTGTGCGGTTCATGACTGTAATAACTGGGAGCTTGTAAGGCTTCCAACGATTCCTCCTCCTGTGAGAAAGCAGCCCGTCAGTGTTGTTTTTGTGCAGCATTAAGCAGCTGCACAATAAAGGACTTGATAGTGAAACACTGTTGATATTTACCTGATGTTTCATTAATACAGAGATAAAATAAGCCGTCTGTATTCCTGGTGTTACATTTTTGTGAACCATAAATCAGAAATCTGGTGTTTTTACTGCTCGTTCTACAGAAAACTCTGATTTTACCCTTTTTAACACATTTTTGTGGCGTTACAGTTTTTCTGTTAGAATCTTTCAAACAGGTCAAACTTTCCTAATATTCACCATATTACAGGGTTAGGATTGTTTGTGAATATGTAATTAAAAACAATTTTTCTGTTAAGTTAAATTCTTAAAGCTCGTTAAACCATAGAAGGCTTATCAGTAGTTCAGTTGGTAAGCTTAAGTAGAGTATTGCCAGCCTTTTACTAACATGCATATATGTTCTAAAAAACATAACACCAGCACACTTTACACGGAGACACAAGACCTTATGTGGAATTAACATTTGCCAAATAAACATTTCAAATCTCTTTCAGATGAAAACAAAGCCGAGACAATGAGTCAGACTCCTGTGGTCTCTTCCCCACAGAATGTAACAGAGTGGCATTACATGCTCCTGACATTAGCATTACATTAATATGGAGCCTAACTTTGGTGTGGTATTACTCAATGCTAATGACGTAACCTCTGAGTGTGGGTGTATATTATCAAGACAGCAATGTCAACAGGTCAGTATTGTTCTCGCTGATGAGCTCAATCTGCAACTGCATGCACATCGCTTTCAAGATTAGCATCACAGTGTCGGCCGCCAGGAATGTCAGATCAGAGTCCCAAAGGGTCTTGGCATGCCTTTAACCTCTGTGAATGTGGTCATGTACATTCCTGTCATAGTCGCGGGACACATCCTCCCCTCCTTCGAGCCCCAGGTAGGAGAGATAAGCTTGAGAAGAAAAAGAGATACGAAGAGGAAAATGAGAGGCTGAGGGACGGGAGAGAGGGAGGGCGGCGGAAAAGTACAGCAGATTCCTGCAACCCCCGATCCCTGTCTCAGCTGGGCATGATTGTGATGGAAAGCCTGAGACAAAAACCTGAAGAGAAAACCCTTCATTGGCAGGCACTGCTCTGTCAGCCTCTCAAAAGGCTGCTTTACACTATACATCAGCCTTTGTGTCTGTGGGATGTGGACAAAAGGGAGATTTGGCCACGATACATCTCTGTTCCCAGCATGATGCAGCTCAAAGAGGGTCAAACCTGGGGACCTTCCTGCAGGAATCCACCATTCTTACTGAAAAAGCCCCGTTCATGCACATTCAGCTCATTCGCTCAGACTCTTTATATTTATTACAGTGGACGTTTCCTGGAACTCACGGGGAGCAGTGAGGAGATGCAGGTGATGCTTGTTTAACACTGAACAGGGCTACAATGTTTGACTTGCATCTCCTGGTTTGCGTTAAAGTTTGGAATGAAACCCAGGCTGACCCCTGGGAAACAATGCAGCCTTTAATGAGCCCTGGGGGGTTGGTGGTGACTGTGTTTGACACAGAGCATTGGGGGTTCTTGTAACCAAGAAGAGAGAGGGTGGAGTTCAAGATGAAGCAGTGCTTTTATGACTCCTTATCGTCACCTCGGGGGGAAATTTATCGTCACCTCGCCTTTTATGACCTTGTGATAACCTGAACATTTCTGAAAAGAGCCTTTGAGAGGATGAGAAATATTGCACTTCAACTGCAGAAGGCTTTAATCTCATGCAAAACCTCACTGTTACACCAATACGTCTCTGCTGTGTCACTTTTCTCCACAACGGTTTGTCTAATCAAGCCTCGAACACAAAACGGTTATCAAGCTGTCGTTGTGTACATGTGTGGAGATGATGGCAGTTTCTCTTGGAGTTAAAGTCCAGCGTGATGTTTGCTAGCGTGCCAGCATTAGTGTCAAACTCAAAAGTACGTTCTACACACTGCGTTTCCCACACTGCAACCGCAAGCCACAGCTTTTTCCCTGCCCCTCCCTCTGCTGGCCCAGTCTCTTAACATGCACCAGGAGCACTTAACAGTAGGATCGTGTTGCATTATAAGCAAAAGATAAAAAAGCACATTTTCACAAACACGTGTATACATTTTTTGTCAGCTTATTATTGTAGGTTTTCAATTTAGTCGTGCTAAACAAATCATAAAGATAAAAAGTCCATCCACCCGTTATAAATGACTTTGGCCCATCTGCGGCTCGTGGACACACTTGTTGAATCGCTGTCACTTCACACTTATATTATTCCTCCGTAGAGCACCTACACCTTTACCCAAAATATTAAAATGACTTCTGAGAACTATGAAAATATTCCTACAGGACAAAAGCACTTTTAGTTTGATTGTTTATCAGAACGAGATTAAAAGCTGGGGTCAGATTATCTAAGCACTGTCTGATCTTCTGAAACGCTCTTGTTAAGAATTTTTAGTAGATCTGGACTAAAACTAGGGCTGCCACAAACCATTATTGTGATAGTCGACTAGTCAGATCATCATCCATTGGACGTAAAACGTACAGCTTATTGCACCAGCAGCATCTGCTCTTATATAACTATCATTAGCTTACAGCTTTAAGTGTTTAAGGTCTGTGCTAACTAAAAATAAAGACAAGATGATAGTTTATTAAATTTTAATGAAATTTGCAGATTGTTTCGGTGAAGTTTAATAAACTCCTTGCTATCTAAAATATAACAGGACACCGGAGTAATTCTCCAGCATCTCACACTTCTGATAATCAGTTGTCTGCTTGACGTTTATTCAGCTGTGTAAAAACTATAACTTTAATCTCAGCCAAACCGATTTACTCAGGAACAAATAAAATACT